CTAGGATTTGGAAATATAAGATATGGCCTCCGGGGTATGAGAAAGGGATTTACCTAAAAATATTCCAAGAATAAAAAACAGGGCTTCTAAGCGAGTGCAGAGGGCCTCTCCTTTGGCCGGAAGTGCCCTCTATGACCCGATCTCGCTCCCTCGTGGGTGAATCACCGACTACGACACTGGACGTAAAGCGCGCGTGTCTGGCAGTTAGACGCCTAAGCTGTGAGGCGAACGCGAATTACAGTCACATGTCAGAGAGCTGTCATGGCCCTCTCAGAGTCTGGTCGCGGGGCGAGCGCCACCGCACGGGACCGGCACAGGGGGCAACATTGTGCCGCGGACGCGTGTGGTGGCGAGTCACCCCACATCTCTAATATGGAGTATGGGAACATTCCGTCAGAGCGCCGATCTACGCTGTTGACACGCATGGGGGGAGGGGGGGCACGCGATCAGATGGCCCAAGGAATGTCGCTGACACGCGAAGACGCGTTTATGTTACCCGAGGCAAATGGCGGCTAATCATCCTGATCGCAAAACAATATTCGACGCCGAGCTCAAATGATTTGTCAAGTCTGATGCGGATACCATGGAAATAATTATACGTTTTTACGCGACATGGTGATGAGCAATTTGATCGAACGAGCCATTCGCCGCATTACGCGAGGCAATATGAAATATGGATCTTCACTTATAGACGCACACATGAGATTGCATAAAATGAATAATGCATGTGAACGTGCAGAAAGCCAAACTACACAATACTGCCCGCCTCCGCTTTCTCCATCCAACCTCCTCTTCCCGTCGAGTTCTCGATGACGTCACCAGCAAGGTCGTCCGGCCGGGCAGCCCCGCCGCCCCACTCACCAGTCCTGCACGCTATTGAAAGACTCCTCATTCGTGATGTCGTACATCAAGATGAAGCCCATGGCGCCTCGGTAGTATGCCGTGGTGATGGTCCGGTACCTCTCCTGACCGGCCGTGTCCTGTGGAGCGAGCCGTGGGATTGAACACGCCGTCAACGGCGCCATAGCTTATTTTTTTTTGTTGTATTGATGTTGGCATCGTCGTTTAAAGCTAACGAGACGAGACCTTGACAAACGAAGTCGAGGTGAAGGGTTTGGGAATACCATCTCCAGCATTTTGGGTGGCACTGCTGCCGTTGACGTGGCGAATGGACCAATATCATTCGCATACGTGAAGTAGGAGCCATCTATTATTAAGGCGGTGGTACGAATGACTAGGGTTGCTGTTGTGAGTGAGTGTGCCGTTACATAATACAAGTCATATAGCCAAGTGTCGCGTACAAGACTGGATTTTTACTGACATACAGAAAGCGTAAGGTAGGTTTTATGACTGTAACTAACATGTGTCAGTCAACTTGATCTCGGGCCTTTTTGGCCTGGGCCGCTGTAATTGACAGACAATGCTTTTATCGCCCCAGACCGTCTCAGCCAACAGCACAGTGCTACACACGTTTTCCTCGCACCTGAACACCATTCGCCACTGCATCCCCTAGCATCTTCTCCGAGCGCACCCCTATCGTGTGCGGTGGGCCCGCACACGGAGCGGCTGAGCACATGGGCGGGGTTCTCGGGGCGCACCGCCCCCGCACGGCCGGCCGGCAGCCATCAGTCAGCGTCGGTGACTTCCGGAGGTGCAGTCCGGGCTGGCGGCTGACAGCGGCGTCCGGACCGGCCGCGGCGCCGACGGCCGGCCGACCAACGGTGCGACACAGGGTCATCGATCGCACTGCACCGCCCCCCCCCCCGCCCAACCCCCACACCCTCTGCTTCACCGGCACAGGACGGAGGCGGTGCGCACGGATACCGAGGGGGACGGTAACTGGACAATGTACGGCAATGAGATGGTGGCAGTGGTAGATGCCCGGTGTGGGGAAATGACTTGTTTAGAGGCGGGGATGTTCAGACAGGCTTGTTCGTTTTCCTATTCAGTTTTTTTTTGGCTCCAGCTATGCTCTCCCGACTTGGGTTTCAGCGCCCCTCCCACAACTTTTAGCAGAAAGTGGGTGAAATCCGGAGAGAAACACGTTTGTTGTCAAATTTTGTGTGTAGGTTGCGTCATTTTTCACTGCTCAACTCACACTACACGCACTCATTTTACGAAACTACGGCCCTGTTATGAGGAACGTTTTTCAAAGAGCGCGTGCAATTTCAAGAGGACTGTGGGGCACTGGTAAGGGGATGCACGACGTGGTGTGACTTCATTATCAATCTCTCGTGTTCTGACGCCTTGCCAAGGTGTCGCTCTCAGTATCGCAGAGTGTAGGGACGCGAGCACGCCCGGTTCCCCAGCCATTGGCCGGCGAGTAAGAAAATACAAAACAATAACGGAAATGCCATCCAAGTTTGCAAACAGAAAGAACAGTACGTTGATTTGTTTAACAGGAACAGCAATTAATTAGAGGATACTTTTGGCCAGGACACAAAGCTCAGAACTAAATTGTCGGTTTGTGGTGAGGTTGTTTGATTCTGCTCCTCTAGCT